CCAAAAGTTCTGAGAAATTAGGACAACGTGAGAAATTTGTATATAAATCTTCTGCAAAAACAATCAGTATTTTATCATGCTTATGTTAAAAATTAAAAATATTTTTATGGGCGCAAAAGTTCTTGTTTTTCAACAAGATCAAATTAACTATCACCCAACATGATCCCAAAGGCTTTGCTTGGCACAAACACTAACTAAAACACAAAAAACACAATCATAACAGTATCATAAGTGTGCAAACACTCAAGAACAGAAAGAAAAAAGACAAAAATCAATTTTATTCATTGGGTTGCCTCCCAACAAGCGCTATTGTTTTATGCCCCTAGCTAGGCATAATGTGAAGGATCTAAGTATTGTCATATTTAGTTTCCAACTCTTAAATCAGACATTTGTAATTCTTCAAGGATTTAGCATACAAATTTTGAATGACAATACTCCTAGGAACAAGTTTAAGGAATTCATTTTTGCACAAAGGATCTCTTATAACTTCAACAAAATCTGGATGAATACTAATCATCTTAAGATCTTCTTTACTGCTATTGCTAGAAGTTTCACCCTTGTTCTTCGTAACTTAAGTAATCTTGCCAACTTTTACAGGAGTTTTTTCAATAGTTTAAGCAGAAGCAAAAGTCGTACTTAGATTACTAAAGATTTCTTCTAGTTTATCAATCCGAGACGGGCTTTCTTCAATTATTTCATGAATTATGGTCCCCTTTTCTTTTAACAACTTAAAAACTTCTCCCACTTTTGACCCAATTTTAGTAGCAAAATTATGCATCTTTTTATCCAAGTTTTCAATATGTTCTTTGGTAAGCATTTTCTTTTCAATAACATCTAGTCTTTCCATAACATGCTCAAGAGTCAAAGTTGTTTCATTAACCATAAGCGGTAGTGAACACACTAAATTTCTCATAGCACTAAAAGCATCAAGAGAGGGACACATCAAGAAATTTCCACCGGTAATCGTATCAAGGACGAATCTATACCAAGTGATGATGCCCACATCAAAACAGTGAAGAAGAAAAATGGTAGATTGCTTACGGATAGATCTATTATGAGCATTGCAAATCCTATACCAAGCATCCTTTAAATTCTCCCCTCCCCTTTGTTTAAAGTTAAGAACCTCGTTCTCGGGAGTGCACGCAATAGCGGAAGAACTATCATTAACGACAAGAAGTGGCAAACAAGATTGCACACAAAAACAGATCTGACGAGAAAACGGCGAACGAAAATGAGAGCGAATAAAGCGGCAATTTTTGTGAAGTGGGGGAGAGGAAAACGAGAGGAAAATGGCAAATAATGTAAATTGCGAGGAGATGAGATTTGTGATTAGGAACCTGGTAGATGTTGATGATATCTCCCCGGCAACGGTGCCAGAAATTCCTTTTGATGCGGCTTGAACTACGTCAGTATTTCCTCAAAGAGGAAGGGATAATGCAGCATAGCTACGGAAGGTATTTCCCTCATGATGAGACCAAGGTTATCGAACCAGTAGGAGAACTACGCAACATCACGTAAACAGCTCCTGCACACAAAGAACAAATACTTGCAACCCAACGTAAGAGAGGGGTCGTCAATCCCTCACGGGTAAAAAGATAGGTAAAATTGTAGTAGATTGGATAAATAGATCTCACGGGAATGCGAGATAAATAAATAAACAAAAATTGTAGCAAGGTATTTTTGGGGTTTTGAATTAATAGATCTGAAAATAGAAGCAAATAAAAATATATCGCGAAGGCAAATATTATAATGAAGAGACCCGGTGGCCGTAGATTTCACTAATGGCTTCTCTCGAGAAAAATAGCAACGGTGGGTAAACAAATTACTATTGGGCAATTTATATAACTTCAAATAATCATGACGATATCCACACAATGATCATTATATAGTCATCACGTGCAAGATTAGTAGACCGACTCCTGTTTGCATCTACTACTATTACTCCACACATCGAACGCCATCCAGCATAATTCCACACATCGACCCCCTACGTGCTTCTTCGGCCCATTGGGTGTCTTCTGGTCCATCAAAATTCCACAAAAAGTTTCGCTACATTTGGACTCCGTTCGATATTGATTTTCTGCTATGTAAAAAACAAGCAAAAAAAAGCAACTGGCACTTGGCACTATGTCAATAGGTTAGTCCCAAAAATGATATAAAATGGGTATAAAATGATTGTAAAACATCCAAGAATGATAATATAACAACATGGAACAATAAAAAATTATAGATACCTTGAAGACGTATCAGGGCCCACCATGGGCATGCGGCGGCACGCGAGAGAGAATGCTTCATGTTTTGATTGATGCTCCATGTGTTATGTCTCAGCATTCACTTGACGGCTCTTCTCCACGCCGTCGGCACCCGTCTCATCTCGTGTTCGGCTTCACCATATTAGTATCCCCTCGGGAACCCTAGTGGCCTGACCAGACCCCTCCCTTCCTCCCGCCTTGCCATGGACGACGACCTAGCACACCGCTGCCACCTCCTCGCATTGTCGAGCCTACTTGGACACCCAATGCTACGCAGACATGAGCCACGATGGCTTTGATTCTCCCCAACCATGAGTCACGTGTGCACGATCCATGAAGCAAGGGATGAAGGAGTCCAACTAGGCAAAAAATCTCGAAGCGGAGAAAAAATGAGATAGACATCCCATGCGCCATTCCATTTCTATCATGTGTGTGTGGGCCCACCATGGTCATGTGGTGGAATCAAAAGAGATTGTTTCACGTTTTGCTCGATGCTCCATGTGTTCCCTCTCAATGTTCACTCGACGGATCCTTGCCGCACCATCGACACCTGCATTATCCCACATTTCACCTCACCGTATTGTCATCCCCTTGATTACCTTAGTGGCCCGACTAAACCCCTCCATTCCTCCCTCCTCTCGACATGGATGATGACCCAGTGCACCGCCGCCACCTCCTCCCACTGTCAGGCCCACATGAAAAACCAACACTACGCAGCCATGTGCCATCGTGGCTTATTCTACCCAACCATAAGCCACATGTGCATGGGTCATGAGGCAAAGGCGGAAGGAGTCCAACTAGGCAAAAACCTTGAAGCAAACAAAAAACATGATAGGCACACCACCCAACGCTTCATGTTTTGCTTGATGCTCCATGTGTTCTGTCTCGGCGTTCACTCGATGGCTCCTCGCTGCACCTTCGGCATCTGCATCATCCTACGTTCAACCTCATCATATTAGTATCCCATCAAGAACCCTAGTGGCCTGACCAGATCCTCCCTTCCTCCCTCTCCTCACCATGGCGACGACATAACGCAACTCCGCCACCTCCTCCCATAGTCGGGCCCACAAGTACAACCAACACCACATAGCCATGTGCCATGGTGGATTTGATTCTACACAACCATGAGCCATGTGTGCATGAGCCATGAGGCAAGGACGGAAGGAGTCCAACTAGGCAAAAAAAACCTCGAAGCGAAGACAAAATGAGATAGACACCCCCACGTGGCTTTCCATTTTCATCACGTATGTGCGGGCCCACCATGGCCATGCGATAGAACGTGAGAGAGAACGCTTGACGTTGTGCTCGATGCTAAATGCATTCTGTCTCGGTGTTCACTCGACGGCTCCTCACCACACTGTCAACACCCGTGTCATCCTGCGTTCGGCCTCACCATATTAGTATCCCCTCGAGAACCCCAGCGGCCCAACCAGGCCCTCCCTTCCTCCCTCCCCTCGCCATGAGCGATGAGCCAGCGCACTGCTGCCACCTCCTCCCACTGTTGGCCCACATGGACACCCAACACTACGTAGCCATGTGCCACAGTGGCTTTGATTCTACCAAACCACGAGCCACAAGGGCGGAAGGAATCCAATTAGGTAAAAAACCTCATCTAAAAAAATGGGATAGACACTCCACACGCCTTTACATTTTCTGTCATGTGTGTGTGGCCCCACCATGGCCATTCGGGGACACGCGAGAGAGAACACTTCATGTTTTGCTTGATTCTCCGTGTGTTCCTTCTCGACGTCCACTCGACCGGCTCCCGCCATACCGTTGACATCGCATCGTCCCGCGTTCAGCAGCACCGCATTAGTATCCTCGAGAACCCTAGGGGCCAACCAGACCCCTCCCTTCCTCCCCCCTCGCCATGGACGACGACTCAGCGCACCGCCGTCACCTCCTCCACTGTCGGGCCCACATGGACACCAAACACCTACGTAGTCATGTGCCACAGTGGCTTTGATTCTACCAAACCATGATCCACGAGGGCGGAAGGAGTCCAACTAGGTAAAAAAACCTCAGCGAAAAAATAGGATAGACGATCCACACGCCTTTACATTTCTGTCACGGGTGTGTGGGCCCACCATGGCCATGCAGCGGTACGCGAGAGGGAATACTTCATGTTTTGGTTGATTCTCCGTGTGTTCCTTCTCCGCGTTCACTCGACCGGCTCCTTGTCGTACCGTCGACATCGCATCGTCCCGCGTTCAGCGGCATCGTATTAGTATCCCCGAGAACCCTAGAGGCCCGACCAGACCCCCTCCCTTCCCCCTCCCCCCCTTCCCCCCTCTCTCGCCATGGACGAC